AATAGAGGCTCTAGAGCGCATGCAAAAAGTAGCATGCTCAGCCCTCATCACCTCTCTCAGTGGGAAGCTGCCAACATTCAAGGTTTTGATCAAGCCTTGCCGTAATGGCTGTGGGTGACAGGTATACGAGACCATAGTTGTGGGAATAAATAGCTTGATTAGCATAATGCGACACCAACAAATTCAGCTTTCAGAGCGCGTGAAAGAACTACTTTTTGCCCGAGTGCAGCATTCATATACCTTCTGGGATCGTATTTCATAGGACAAACACACAATTATGTAAACAGGGTATTTACCTCTGCACCATTGGAAGGTAATATAATTTACTTCCAGTGTGTGCCCAATACGCTGTCACTGTGTTGTCTGTATTTTTGGCTGCTTTGAATCGGCTCTGCAGCTCCCATTGTCCACTAAAAGCGTATTTCCACTCTTTTCTGCAATCATAATTCACCTGATACATGGAGCGCTTACCTCCAGAAATCCCAGCCATATTGATCCATCTGGAGCTGAGCGACATCGCTATAAACAGGCTAATCCAACATAAAAGCTGGCCTTTCAATGCCCCAGCCTGTTGAAACGATTTAGCTCTGCCTGGTACCAATGAATAAATAAATAGATAAATAAGGCACACAATCATAAGCTCGAACCTGCAATGCATCCCAACCACACAGGACAGGAGGCAACAGCTCTGAGATAAGAGATTATTTGGAATAATATCCCTTCCATTTTGCAGGTCTTTAGCACCGCAGGGTTGGGGATGGGGATGACAAAGAAGTGAAGGTGGCTATCATCAGTCAAACTCCTGTCTTCTCCCTGCTTCCACCTACACCTTGCATCTGGACTTTGTGACCTTTTGCCATTCTTGTGTGATTAATTGCTACTAAGACTGTCCACCAATAATCTATGTGATAATTATCAAGAGAATGACTACTTTACTTGAGCACTAGTCAGACCAGACTTGCCACTTACCTCTGCCTCCCCCTTTTCATTCTCCTCTCACCTCCTGCCTTGTTCCTGCTTGACTGGCTGCCAGTAGGCTGAGGTTAGTGCAATAAGGATTGTGGGGGGTTCAGATACCCTTACATCTGTCAGGATTACAGCAATTCATTGTAACCTTCAGCAGCCCTTGCCCCACGCTCTCACAACACTTACAGGTTAGTTTCTGCACTTTGATTGTACTAGTATACTATGTAATGTAACATGTGCTTTGAACACTGTTGTATGGATACATTATTACCTTTAGAGAAAAGATATGAATTAAGGGAGTGTAGGGGAAAAGAGCTTTACAATTTCCTGTGAGATTTGCTGAATTAAAAAACACATTTTTAAATAATTTTCTTTGATGAATTCTTTAAACCCACAGCTGTTTTTCTCTCCTCTCTTTGGCCATTATTAATTCAGTGGCATTTTGCTAGGATGGAAATTATCAGGATGTTGAGGAGTGGATATGAGATTGCCTGAAGTGAACAGACTGATGTTTGATACTGTAAAACGACAGAATGTGGTTCCTCGCAGCATTTGCTTTTCCCTTGTGTGGCGTTTTTTTCAGTTGGGTGGATTTAGGAGACTTTTCTATGCTCTTTAACCCAGGACCACATGAATACGCCCAGTAGTCAGTGATGTGATAGTTTGTAATGTGCAGCATGTTAACCATAGAGCAAGGAAACAATACCATCCCCCTTTTGGTTCTGTTCACAGACTTATCTGCACTTGGGACAATCTAACTAGAACATAAAGGGTCAGATTTACTAAAGGTTTGCGTGAGTACAAACATTTGCAAACTTGATATCATCAACAAATTAACATGTAAGCTGATCTACTTCTGGTGTGCACGGAGAATGACGTCTTTCAAAAGATAGCGCTTGTTGTTCATTTACTACTTTTGTCTTAATGAATATGCAATTTGGGACGTTTAATTTTTTTGTGAAAAGTAATGGGAGGGTAACATGCAAATACATTTATTTACTACACGCAATGTGATCTACCAAGCCTAAAAGCAATTTCATGTGAGTGCAACAGCATGTGTATTTAATACGTTTGAAAGGAAGGTGCAAGCCGCCAAGTGTTGTGCAGAGATGGCTGCTGTTATTGTTGTGAGAAGGAGACACAGGCGTAATGATAGAAGACGTGGAGAAAGGAACAAAGAACGCGCACATTTTGCCTCTCCAGCCATGCCATATTGGAGCTGTTGTCTGACCTAAGGGCTGATTTGGAGCCAGTTACAAGAAGGAGTCACACCTTACCTGCCATGCCCAAACTTCTTGCAACTCTACTTCATCCACAACTAAAATACATCCAGCCAGAGGGATGGATCACCAACTGTTCACAGCACGGCGGTCGTAATAGCGACACAACCCATTGTAGGTGTCGGAGAGGGAATAAGGCGCTGGGGCGGACAGGGACAGGGACAGCAGATTGCGAAGCTACAAGGCATGCTGCAGACGGTCGGTGATCGTTCATTCTGGCTGGATGAAGCATGACGCTCCTGATTTTACGCATGATCCATGGTGATACAGAAATATAGAAATTAATGACAAAAAGCACACTGTCAATATTTTAGAGACCCCCCAAAATTTCACAAATTATGTTTTTAGGGGAGTTCATGTCTTATTCCCCCTGGCTCCCCTGTAGTTCTCACCCTGTCCTAACATCTGGGTCATTCCAACATACTGTTTCTGCTGGGGTTTCCCAAAGCAGTTTTTCAGGTGTGCTGTCCCAAGTACTTAGGTAGGATGGGCAGGACATATGATTTCCACATATTTGGGATGCACTGATTGAAAAAAACAAGGTTTTTACTAGTGGCTGCTTTCTCTTCCGACTCTCCATGGCGGAAACCATTAAAACACGCAAAACCCTCATTTAAATACTGCCACCTCCATTGGGTTTGCACCTGTTGTCATCTACGCAATAATTCTTAGTTGATCACCCATAACAGGTACTACAATAACACGTGCAATATTTTAGAATGCACACGCACTTTTGTACTCTTTATTAAATCCGGCCCTAAGAATGTTGATCAGTGGTAATCCCAAGTCCTTCCTCAAGTCAGACTTTTCAAGTCAATCTTTTCATCCTTAATTCATATTGAACAGCAATTAAACACTGAGACTTTCCTGGGCAATATGTGCCCAGTGTGTGTCAGTATCCACAGCTCTGTTTTCCCTTTTCCCTTCCTCTGTCAAACCAGATGTAAGACAATGAACACTTTGAATTATGTATTAAAATGTTAGTGGTAAATACCAGCACTGTACATGAGTAAGCAATCCTGAATATTGCGGGAGATCATTTAGCGTTAGGAAAATACTGTATCACCACACAGACTTCCTCATCAGTAATTTAAGAATACTTACCTTTACTGAAAAGCAAATTACAATTGGATGCCGAACTTTATTCTTATGCCGTAGGATTTTATTTCATTTCATTCATATAATTCAAATGGTTTACCACAATAATTGTTGCCTCTCATAAAACAAAAAAATACTATGTTTTCCTATAGTCTAATCACATACTGAGTCCATGTTATATTTTTATCTTAAAGGTTTTTGGAAGTCAAATATTTACTCTGTAATAGCGAGTGATTAAAGCTGCCAACACAACTGCTGATTGAATTCTTGCTATTGATCCAACAGTTGTTTTTAGTAATGTGGTCCATGAAGAACAGAGCTGTTCCCAGCACGGTTCTGGCAGTGAGCTGGTAGCCTCTGGCAGCACCCCTGCCTTCCGAGCTGACTGTGACACCAAAAAATATCAGGTCGACAGCAATTGTTCCAGGGGAGAACAAAATGATGAAAAGTCTCTCCAAAGTTCTGGGTTTTTAGTTTTTGCTTCAGAGGTGACACAAATGCTTATTACACAGTTACTGTTGCTGTAAATTGTACCTGGATTGTAATGTTTGCTGCCATAGATAATTTACATTTGCAAAATGATAATATGTGTGAAAGCAGGCCTGTTCCTGACTCGCAGCACATTCTAGTCCCCTGCTGCCTCCAGTGCAATTAATGATCTTGCTTACAACATTAGCGCCACAATCATGAAAAATCGTACTAAAAAACCGAGTCCCCCAACATACTGAGTTCAATTCATCAAGGGCTTCATGCTCATTGGCGATGTCAAACTTGGTCTCACCACTATTGATTGCCGTGGTAATAAAGTACCTGCCATAAGCTCCCAGGAGTAATTATCTTTTTGAACATAGAGTTCACCAAGAGATATGATTCGTCTCGAGATTCAGTAAATGACTCATCTTGATTCTGATTTTTACAGGCACTCGGAAAAAGTAAAACTCAAACATTTATAAAGTCTCTTTGTTAATCTATTATTTTGTCAGTGCTTGGGAAATTGTGTTTGTGGTTTGGATTTTTAACTTCAACTCAACATAGCTTGTAAAGAATGTTTCTAAGATAAAGATATGAAAAAGAGTAGAAATCCTCTTTTGAGACTGGTTGTCTTTTTTTTATCAGCAGACAGACACATCAAGATTGACCTTGGGTCAAACAGCCAGTGTGGTATGCTGGGAATTCAACACACAGAGGTTTTTAGACTTTCAATATTGTAATATCTCTCTATTATCTTCTCTCTATTTCTTAAAACTTTAAGACATGTGATGGCCTTGTCTAGGAGCCATTCTTTATGGCTGCTGTCTTGAAAAATCCATGATTGTAGACATTGTTTGCCATGCTGTCAATGTCTTCATACCATTGCAGAAGTCATTGCACATCAAAAAGCCATACTTTGGAGTTGTAGCCTATTAAAATTCATATTAAGGAGGGGGAGGTATAATGTTGTGTAGTTCAGTGGGATGCAGAATTGAGTTGGAGTTTGACAGACAAAAGGCAGGGTGTATAAGTGGCATGAAGAAAGGGGTCATTTATCAACAGACAGCTCTCAATGGCATTGTAAATCACTGCTGTGCCAAAGGGCATCATCTGTTCCAATCTTATTATTTTAGACAAAGTATGTAGCGTTATCACTTTTTACAGATGGGATGAACAACCAACATGTACCACTTGTTTTGTTTATTTGCATCATCAACACTCATACACATTCGTTGGTCTCCCAGCACTGTAGCACGTAAACACAGGACATAAACACCAGTTTGCCCATCCATTGTCATCAGCAGACAAGCCTGTGGATGTTTATCCTACACCAGAAAATATATTCAGTAGCACAGAAAATTAAATGAAACAACCTGCCTCATTAAACAGAACAAGTGAAAAAACCCCCAACAAATTCCATTACAACATCAGTGCAATCCTGTAACATATACAGTATGCTTCTGCAAATTCTGATAACTGTATGATCACATTGGGAGGGAGTGCTCAGAAGTTCAGTGTGCACAGGGTTTTTAACGAAGAGAAGTAAAAGTCCATAAGATAAACAGCTTCTAACACTGAATCAATCATTGATCGTTTTGCTGTAAACAAAACCAAGGAGCCAGAACAATTAGTAGTACACGTTAGATGAAATGGAACAGTTCTGCCCATGCTGTAAGTGCTGCAATGCAGACAGATTTAGATAGATAACCAAAGAAATTTTTCACCCTACCATGTAGTGGCGAATGGTGATCACTTTATGTAAAATTTCACTGTAAACATAATGCCACTGATCTAAATTAATCGCACTAGAGTGACTGAGATGAGTGTAGGTGCAGAGCAACATGCTACAGAGAGATACTGTAGGGGTTATGTGTCTCATATCTAGTGGTCCCTAATCTAAGCCCTCTCTAAGTGCCCCGTTACTAGATTCAAAGTATCAAAAAGCTGCAGATTCAATTGAAACCAGTGAAATACAAATGCCTAATGAAATTGTATGTTGAAAGTATTATACAGCTTTTTTCACTTACTTTATAATGCTGAGGGTCCAGACAAGTCCTGACATGAAATGCTCATTGTAGAATATAGAATGTGAAGTATTGCTGCTATATATGTGCTTTCTATGCAAACATAGAAATAATAAACATACTGTAGCATATTCATCATATAAGATATTTTTGTGGCCAGCATTGGCCACAATTGTGGCATCATATATTTTTCAGAATTTACATATATTCATATATACATGCACATTTAGTGCCAGATTTTTTTTTCTTAATCTTTTAGGACTTTTGTTCATCTACATATTTGGACAATGCAACATCTTGAAACATATATCTGGTCCTACTCAAGTGGACCAATTACTGAAATTAAAACGACATTAGACCCTTTCACATGTCTGAGATCAAATTGTTTTGAACAGTAGTGACAAAAAAAATTACACAGAGTGACACTATGCACAAAGTGATCATTTCAGTTTTCCATCAGTGCACTAAAAACCAGTCAATGTGTGCACTGGGGTTGTCAAGCGTAGAAGATGAGCTCAGGAATCTGTCCCCCCTGCACCCCTGTGCCGTTAGTGCTGTCCGAGGAGCACTGGAACTGAAATGTCACTTTCCCACACTGAACCTCTGTCATCCCTTCCTGCCCAAAGTAACTCAGCTCATTCCCATCCAGAACCACACTGGCAGTATAGAAGGTATCAGGCTCGATCTGGACTGGATACTCAAACCAAACTGGGAAGGTGTTGCTGGAACCATCAGAGAAGTATTTGCTGAGGTTTTGTCCCAGCAGTACCCCTTGACGTTTCAACTCAATCTTGGCACTGTACTCTGCTGAGCCACAGCTAGATCCATACAGTCCAAACCCAGCGATGAAAACTCTTTTATCCACTGCAAACTGTATACTGTCACAGCGGCCCCGATAACGCCACTGATTGCTTCGGTAGGCACAGGACTGGAATCTGTGGCAGCGCTGGGGTGTCAGGCCCTTCCTAGGCTGGCTGACAAACTCCAGCTCAGGCTTCTTGGCTGCTGTGTACCACAGGAAGATGTCATTGGTCTCATTAAGCGTCAACACACCCGACTGGGCTGCTCCATTGGCAAAATCATCGAGAGCCATTGCAGGGATACGTATCAGGTACATGGCCTTGCCCAAAACCTTACGCTTGTTATCAGTCGACGAGGTAAGCTCCTGCCTCTGGCACTCAGCCTCAGCCCAGTTGAGCGCCGCCTCAAATACCACTATCTCTTTAGCATTGAGTGTCTCTCGCTGTAGGATACTCTCCAGGGTCTGGGCGTCAATGTCGCAGAAGCCCTCAGAGCGTAACGCCAGTTCGGCCTGGGCATCAATCACCTCCCAGCAGCGCTGTGTCAGCTCTGGCTCCTCAAACAGGCAGCTCTGAGAGAGTAACACACAGGCATTCTTGGCACTCAGGCTGGTCTCCAGGAAGTTAACACAGGCACGTGCTAGATGTGGGACAATGTACTTCTTGGCAGCATAAAGAGTGGCCAACACTGTGTCAGCACTCAGGTCAATCTCATCACAGTATATGTACCTGTTGAGGTAAAAATGTGACTTTCTCAGCTTTGTAGACAACAGATCAAATACGAAAGTAACGACATGCAAAAGGACCTCGTGTGAATGTGTTTCTTAAGAAGGTAATTATATTGTAAAAAGAAGACCAGAGGGCATGGTAAATATAACAGATATCTTCATTTGATATTTTTAGTTGATTGTGGTTGAAACTGATATTACAGTGTTGTATGCAATAGCATCGCTGCATCTGGTCAAAACCTTGTTGGAAAATAATGAAATGAGATTCTTAACAGAGTGAAATCGTGGTGCAAACTAATCAAACTAGCCAACAAAATAGTATTCCTCCTACACCCTCATCTACCACCTACTGTAGCCCGCCTGCAAGGACATACAAAACAAAACTCATAAATAAAAGTGATGGAAGAACAGCAAGGAGGAGGTAGAGAACATTATGGAGTGATTCAGCATGAAAGGTAGAAAGTATAATGAAATGAAAATAGACACATAGATTCTATCTCACAGAAAGAGGAAGAAAGACTTTCATTTGTCTGGCAGGGTAAGTGCTGAACAGGTGCCAGAGATGGATATATACTAGTTTCATCAAACATTGGTTTTTTCACCAACATGAAATTGAAATAGCAGTTATGTACATGAAGATGACATTTATATGAATAAGGGCAATGTAATATCACAGAGCAGGGCCAGTTGAAGGAATTACTCTATGTTGAAGAGTTTAGACAGTGGAGAATCCTTACTTCAGCATTGCCAGAAATGCTGCCGGTTCCACATCTGGAATATGGATTTCGTCATTGTTCTCTGCCAGTTCACCATAAAACATGGCATGGAACACTGAGCTGCCCACAGCCAAAACATACTGTTGGAAGAAGAAGAAAAAAATAAATGTGACTGAGTAGGTTGTCTGTAATTTCACTGGAAACAACATGACATGTAGTAACTTTTGGTAGAAAATTGTACTAAATGCAATTTGTTCACATGTAGCCACCAATCTCTGTGTGGATATTGAACAATGCCTTAATTCTAATCAATGGAGAGATTGAACCTGTTGAGTTTCTCACATAATGAGCAGTGCTCAGCCAGTTACTATTTCCCCTGAGGACAGGGAGGGAGATTTCTAATGGACAAGATTGCTGCTGATAAAAACAAAACAAACAGGAAATCCAAATGACACAACTGAACAGAATTGCAGCATAAGTTCAATTTACATAAATAAATGACTTATCTGAACTTATGATGAAATCAGATGCAACACAATGCTACTAATAATTTCAGTAATAAGCACTGCATACAGTACAAGCCTATGAATTGTATAATTATACTCCAGTACATTCATGGTTTAGGTCTGTGTGTGTGTGTGTGTGTGTGTGTGTGTGTGTGTGTGTGTGTGTGTGCGCAGCACAAGTATGTGTAGGTGGGTATGGGGGTGGTATAAATTTTCTCACAAAAAAGCAGACAGAATTTCTGTGAATTTAATTGCAATGAACCCAAACTAAATTAAACCTTGCAAATAAGAGTTTTTGAAAACAGTGCTGTTATTGTTGTTACACACTGATATTCATGTTTCTTTTTCATAAGAAAGAGGGCAACTGAAAGACAGTTGCTTTTTTATGTGGATTTAGAGACGGATATATAAATACTGCATGTTAGAAAAAGATTAGTCTCACCTCTTGACCCATTTTATTTTACAGATGTTCACATAAAATTCTGCTCTTAGCTGTTAGCTACATCCTCCATCTTGTACGGATATAACTTTGAAAATGAAATCATAATGCACATCTGAATTTCTGCCAAATGGACACAATAAAGATTGCTGCCCCGAATGTCATTATATCCCATAATGTCTCAGCATAAAGTGCAGTCAAGTCATCATCAATGTCCTTCCATAAATGTGTTCTATAAATGCACAAAGTGCGCTGCAGCTACCAATCATAGAGCATACATTAGGGTCACATATAAAGAACAGAAAAAATGACCCACGCAGGCCTCATCTGATAGTGTAGATGTGGAATGAATCGCAGAGCCAAATTCATGGCTGAAAAATCACTTACTAGATATAATGTGAATGTTATAATAGTATTCAAACAGAGTAGACATAATGATGTGCTTTCAGATGAGGCACATGTTCTAGGCAACTATAAACCTTAATCGATGATTTATGTAAACATCTTAAAAAAGCAAGATGAATTAATGATTAAACAAAAAAGTCAAGTCGACCTACAGGATACAACTGGCATCAACAGGATGAATATGCGCCCAATAATAATAATCATAGCTACTTATAGTAGATTCATTATACTGTCATTCCAAAATTCAGAAAGATATTCAAGCAAATGAGTACAAAAGTATTTCTAGGATGTAAGATGCACCTTGCTATATGCGTTATCATAAGTGTGTGTGTGTGTGTGTGTGTGTGTGTGTGTGTTTGGATGTGTTTGATTTAAAGTTGAGTAATTACAGAGCTGTCTCTGAAAAGCTGAGCTAAAGCAGAAACAAAGGCGACCCATTCTGTGTGAGATGACAAGGATATCCCTTCCTCCTTCGCTCACTCTGTGCCTCTATCCTTCAGCCTCATTTGCATAAATAATTGAGGACTGTCTCGGGAAGACACATGGTGCGGAAGTGACAGTGGAGCACAAAGGATTTTAGTTCCATTAGTGCTGGCAATGAGGAAGATTGTTTTTATGCTGATATGATACGAACAACACTGGGCCAGGCTGGCTGATTGCTTGTTCATTTCCTCCCTGCTACCATGATTTTAGTGGTTGATGAAATTCTTACTCTGTGTCCTGGCAGCCGCTGGGTTCTTCCTGGCTGACCCACCACAAAGTGAACATCTGCCATCAGCTCATTGTTGAACATTACTGAATTTCTAAAAGGGGAAAGAAACAAAAAACAGGAGAAAGTAGAGGTATTTTCTGCTACCCCCCCCCCCAAAATAAAATCAGTATATAAAGGGTTCTAACTGCTTCAGGCAAGACTAAATACATTTTATTGATTTAAAAGTCTTACACAGCACACAACACTTCTTTCAAAGCTCAATAATTTTTCAGCTTAAACTACTAGATCTGTAGAGAGACAAGTTAACTAGACAATGAACTAAATGGAAAATCCCCACTGTGAAAGAATGGGACCAACAATAAAGCTGCGTTCATATATTATTAAGTAGTGGAACATGTCACAGGGGTGGGTAAACAGCCCCATGATGTTGTCTGGAGAGACAACAAAGCCAGGCTGGAAAGCACACATTTTGCTCTGGACAGCTGGGGTCTTTTACTGATAGGCCAAGGTAAATATTTAGCTTTTAGTACAAAACAGCCACAGCCTGTTATGCATATCAAACACACCCGGTGGCTGTCCGCCCTCTGTTATGTCAGAGAAGCAAAGGCTGCAAGAGCAGGAGAGGGTGTAAACAGAGGTACCCCCAGCAGATTCAGGGCAGGGCAGAGGGAACACCCACCACGCACTCACACACACACACACACACACACACACACACACACACACACACACACACACACACACACACACACACACAAACCTTAATATACATTTAATTACCATACACAAGTGTTTTGTGATACATTTATAGAATTATTGATGGTTCTGTTCAGAAAACTGGCAATTAAAATGCAGTGGACCATTCACTTTCTATCTATTGAACTTCTTTTTAAATTTCAAATTCATCTTCACTGAATGTGATGTTGCTGAAAACTGACTAGCTGGTTGTACCCACCTCTCTCTTATAGTGGAGTAGAGTCCTTGCCAGTTACAGTTCTGTATGGTGTTGTTGTTGTTGAGGTTCTGCTGCTGGTATTGTTGCACTGTGGTGGTGGACGCTGGCTTTTTGGTAGGAAAAATGTCCGCTGCCATCTTCTTCTTCTTCTTGCTCCTCAAAGTGATTATCTCATAACAGACTGGGGGCAGCTTGGAGCTGCCGCTGGCATTCCCTTTTTTGGAGCTTTTACTTGACTTGCTTTTCACTGACTCTGGAAGCATTAAGAAGAAAGTCAGACATTTCATATTCCTTCCCTTGGCATCGACCATGAGTGTGTTCAACTGCGGAGCAGTGGGAGTGCATGCAGAGAAGACATTCACCAGGAGCAGGCAGGTGCGAGGGGGGACTGAGGGATACTTGAGAAGAGGACAGCAGAGACTTGAGCTGTGTGCAGCAGTGCAGTAGTCCTGTATGAGTTTTCACCTTTCGGGAACTAACAGAATAACTCTGTTTTTCCTGTTTTCTTCACTCCTCTGAAGAGGTTCAGATTGGTTATCCGAAGGCACTTTTTCTGTGTGAAGTTTGATCTGCTGACGGAGAGGCTCTTGGGGTTGCCATCCCTGCTTGTCCAGAGTGATGGAATCAGCTCTTCAAATCACTTCTTTTTCTCCTCTGCTCCCTTGCCTCTCTCACTTGCTCCTTTGCTGAGGGTTTTCCTGACAGTCCCAGATTTAGTACAGCTGCAGTGGTCCTCAGGCAGACAGCCGTATTAACTCAAGTCCTTTCATTTACCCCTCTTACGCCTTCTGTGCTTCTCATCCCCTTTCAGTCTCTCTTCATTTGTGGATCTACCCTTTTCTCTCCAACACTTGTCCTTTTTTCCCTCCCTCTCCTCCATGGAGCAGAGTCATCTGCAGGATGCTGTAGCCGTGGCGGCTGTGCTACTCTGCTCAGCCACTTGTTCTGCTGACTACAGAGGTTGAATGAGAGAGCGCAGAGGAGATAGAGAGCCCCCTGCCAGCCCCTCACAGCACAGTACACGGCTCTCTTCATAGCTCAGCCAATGGCAGCGGACAACATTCATGATTGGCTAATGCAGCCTAGTGCAGCACATGCTTGAATATGCAATAGTCAATGTCTCAATTAAAGTGACAGCCATTCCCCATAAGAATGATATATTCATCTACTGTTTTGCTTCCTGTGTTTGCTTTACCTAGAGCCACAGCATTCAGTCTGCAGTAAATATAGATGCCATGTTATAATTCAAAAGGGTCAGAATTTGCTTAATTCATGCAATCATACTTCTTTTTTATAGAGCTTATAAATGTATACAAACAGTTGTGTTTGCAATCCATTGGTCTTTGCTGCTTTGATTGACTCAGGGCCTCCAAACTGTCTTGCCAGCGCAAAACCTTTTTTAGAACCTTTTTTTAGAAGTTCACTTGCAACTGAACATCATACACAAGTATTCTTGTACTACTAGAATTTGATTAGGTAGCATTTTGTAATATTCCTGTATCTTTAAATATTTTAGATTTTATTGAATGTCCAGTTTTTGCAATATAAATATGTGAAATCGCTGTGAAATACCAGAGATTTTCTTCTTTTGAAAAGCCAACTGCTGCCATTCCCAACTAAGACTATATGCTTGTGCTCAAGCTTTCTTGTTAAGTCATCCCTTCAGGAGAGTACATGGGGCTATAAATGTAATGCACTCTTTGCACAATGTATAATGCATACAGTTATTTTGCTCTGCTTGTCTAGTTGGGCCTGTGCAGAGTGGGTATTCTATTCAAAGTGCTGGGATGATTTAGCTATTCGCTGGTGGTGGTTTAAAATGTTTTCAAATGCTGTCATATTTGATAATGATGTGGTATTTTATTTATTTTATTTAATGGTGCTTTGGTATTATTACTACTGCTGCTGTGCACCTTGATAATAGTATTGTCTTAAGTAGCATGAAAAACTACCGTTACTAGTAGTCCATTTGCTTATTATATCATATTATATTTGCAGGAATGAAAATCAAACTGACAAAAAGAGCAGGATAAGGTAAATAAATTTAATTTAGAAAGTCCTCCTTGAACTACTGTCACAATAGTGATTTTTCAATACATCCTAATTAACTGTCTTAGTGTTACACTGAGGAGCATTAGCCCGCTAAGCTCCCTTGTGCAGTGTGTGCTGCAGAACAGAGACATTTGCTATGGTAACATGGAGCCAACATTACGGGGCACCATACTCTCAAATTGCAGGCCACTAGAGATGTTACCTTGGTAACCACATCCACCAGCAACAGCAGGGTAGAAATGTAGTATACAGACATAAAAACAATGACGCTAGTAAAGGAAAAGTCCCTATGTTATTCTGTATCTTTTGATTTAATGAAAATAGCAGTAAGATATATACATATATATATATATATATATATATATATATATAGATATACATTTGTGCTGTGTGTTTTCTGTTGTGCAGCAGCAATCCAGTGGCATTGCTAACTACTAAATTAAAATTTTAATGTTGAGAAGCCCCCTTGACAACTGTTGACAGAATCCTCACGTTAAACCAACAGTTTTGTGATTTATCTGGCGTCCTGGTCTGGCAGCCTATATGATAAATAGGCTGTCATTTTGTGTTACCCTGAATGGCTTCCTGCTTTCTTTAATTTCAATTTCTTTCCATTCATCAGCAGAAAATGTAATCTTGTTATTCACACATTTAGAGGTAGGATTGAGAGGAGGAAGTAATGATGGTGTTGCCACAGCGTCAACATCACCTTTGTCTCACACGTTGTCATCACATAATCACACATTATCCCAGAGAAGGAAAACATCAGCACGACTGTAGTAGCAGGGCAATCAGCACTGTGGCCGACTAAAGCCATTAGTCCTTGGTTAATCAGTGTTGATAAAATTATGCAGAGATTAACCTATTTATATTAACCATTTTGAGATAGTGCAAAACATATCTCCACTGTCGTTCTTTTATAATTCTGAGATACTAAAAATGTGAATTTATTATGCCATGATATTAGATCATTTTATTTTGTGATGCAAGTTTAAATACTCCCCCCACCCCCCCACCCCCATTTCAGTGCTTGGCAGTACTCCAGCCTCTGTGTATTAACTTCAAAAGGCGAAGTTAAAAAGCAGCTGAAGTCCAGCTGTGCCTTTGTTGATTGCTTCTTGATTGACAGTACTCAGTGCAACACCTTTATCTTCAAAGTAGTTATACGAGGACACCTTCATCTTTTAGGAAGTAACTGCAGCTGATGTGAAATACACACAAACCAGAAATCGTTGGAAAAAGCAGAAATAGTCAGCTACCTCAAACGTTAGGAGAATACTTAAAGTATTAATTAAAGTTACTCTGTTTCTCTGCGTTTGCTCACACCAGCATTGTTGTTTTTGTCATTTGTAAACAAGCTTGAGGAGTGTCCGTGTTGTAAGTATTGTGTCCAAAAATATTACGCATGCTGTTTCAACACTGTATTTTCTTGCCACAATAAAAAGTGTGGCTTTCAGGCAGTGACTTACTTTATAATTACTGGCCTGGCTCAAAGTACTGTAAGACATCAACTTGTAATAACAAATAAAAAATAGGTGTGCATGGTATTAGTTTTCCAGTGTAAAAAGCCATATTAGTGAAAAGAGGTGCAATCTGCTACATTATGAATCATCCAGATCTTTTATTTTGTTTGAGACAGGTCTGCTTTCTGTCCCCAGAGTCAAAACTAAACATGGAGAAGCAGCATTCAGTTTTATGCACCATATGTCTGGAACAAACTCCCAGAAAACTACAGATCTGCTGCAACTGTTTACAATTACTTTAATTCAAGGGTTTTCTTTTTGCCGCTGCCTTTTATTAAATGAAATGTTTTATGTAAAGCACTTTGAATTGCCTTGTTGTTGAAATGTACTATACAAATAAATGAACAAATAAAAAATTAAGCCCATCTTACTGTTTTGTGATGAGTTTGGTCATTATTTATGTTGCGGAGGTGACTGCTTACTGTTCTGAGTTTGAGCACAGAGATGCGGCCCCGCGTAGTGGCAAACCTCTTCTGCAGAGAGACACCTGCTGAGAGGCTTGGCTGAGCACAGCGGAGGAGAGAGGAGGCTGGGAAATGATCTGTGATGCAGGCCTGGCACACTGACGCAGGGACAGGATCCAGCAGCTTGTCCAGTGTTCTGCCCTCTCCGCCGCCACCATTAAAGCAAGCAAGGGCACCTGACAGGTGGAAGAGGCGAAAGTGATGGCATCTGACCAGAGACGAGGCTCAGAACTCCTGAAAAAGAGAACTGTTTGTCAGCAGAGTCTGGGAGAGAGCCGGCAGTCATGCACAAGAACAGTGTTTGTGTGCGTATGCGTGTGAATGCGTGTGTTTATGAAACTGAAACTTGTGCTTTATCCAAATTCTCTGTCTGACACTGCACTATTTCTTCATTTTTCTTTTCTGCGTACATTACACAGCATACATTTAGCCAATCGTCTCAGGTTTTACCAGCCTCAGTTGTATAATCACCTAGTCAGAAATCCAATAACAAGTTTGAATAATGACAGGATAAACATTTAATTAGAAAAACCAACATGAATGTTTAACTATGTCTTGTCCAACAAATGGCCTAACACACTTTCAGTGACCAGAGAAGACAACAACACCATGGATGAGATGATAGCCTCTCCTTCTGCTCACAATCAATATGTCACAGTCAGAAGATGTATGGGGGTAATTTTACTTGCCTAGAGAGCACAGAAAAGCCAGAGAATGTAGGAGGGCTGCAAGAGCCACAAACTTCTCTCGATCACATGCACAACAGCAACCATTTTAACATAGGCACACTTTCCCCAAATATGGATCGATCTAATGTATTTATCTTGCAGCTGTGCATGTTTGTGTGTATGTGTGTGTAGGTGTGTAGGTGTGTGTGCACGCTGCTGAGTGCGTGGACACAATAATGACAGAGTACAGAAGACCTTATAACCGCAGCCCACCACATGCTCACACGCTGACTCCCACACTTTCTGCCATTGCTCACTCATCGACCTCTCACTGTTGTCATATTAAACTTGATAGCCATAATTTTCAGTGTGATTAAATGTTTTGCATGTCCTGTGAGTTGATCTTTGCAGATGTATTACATATTCTGCCCTATGGTTTATTTTGTTTATTTGTATTTATTTGAGCGTAGTTTGGTACTCCCCTAAAGGAATCACAGCTAATTTGTGATAGACATTGCAGACCATCGACCGTAGGAGTAATTATCCAAGCCTGTTCTTGGTTTGTATGTGCATAACCTAATTGGTGCTTCACCTATTAATTGCACAATTATAGTGAGAGATTACAGCATTCATAATGACAATTGGGAAACCTATGTTACAGGACTGTTCATGAAAAATACCATATTGAGATGCAAAGAGGTTGATGATTTTGAAAGTTTACTTAAGTTGATGACTGATCTGTTTTTTTCATAACTAGGCATGGTAGGCCTGGCAAGCTTTGGATTGGATGTAAGCTGCAAACATTAGCATGGCTTGCTAGCCAGCATTATTTCTAAAGCTGCATGTTATTAGCAACCTACATTATTTTCTGGTGGGGGCCAGATTGATAAACATTGTTAGATACATAAGCAATGTAATTGGCAGATATGTTCAGGTTGTCTACCTGAAGCCTCCTTGCCTGGATAAAAACAGCCAAATAAATGAGTTGATAAAACAGAATCAGGATAAAAACAACAGGACAGATAAAACCAAGTACTTATATATATGTGTGTGTCTACGAGTGTATTTTACACTGACTGTGTATATATGGACATATAGGTGTGATAAGTGTGTGACCTAGTGTGTACGTTTTAGTGGCATCTAGTGTTGAGGGTTGAGAATTGCAACCAGCAGCTCACGGTGCATTCACGTGTTCCTCAGATGGTCAAATTTCCCAAGTTGTGAAGTCTCTAAGACTGTAGTGTGTGTTCCTGTGCTCTTGAGTTGGAATCATAGACTGTATAAAAG